CCACCACATTTAAAAACCTCATTACTGATTTTGTCTTCTGCTGATGACTTATTATTTTTTAATTGGCTAATTGCTTTTTTAATTTCATTTTTTTGAATAGGACCATTCAAAGATTCTGTATTGACTGCGTCCACACTTTTCTCTAAAGTTTCTAGATGTGTTTTCATATTAGAGTGAACAGTGTTGTTTTTATTTAACAGTTTTTTAAAGTAAATTAACCAGTCCCCAGGTGAAATAGGTTCATTATCTGAATGTGTTATACTGTCATTGTTTAAATCATTCAGTATTTTCCAAAATTTAGATGTATCACTTTTTGATTTTTCAAGCTCATTCAGTTTTAACTGTTTTAGGGCATGTTTCTTTTTCCTGACTAAATTTTTGAATTGCTTTTTTGTTTTGAAGTATCTACCACGAATAATCGGGTCTAGTGGATGTTTCTGCAGTAATTTTGAAATATTTTTTAATTCTCAATCATATGTCTCCCCTATGTGACCAATCCCATATGGCCGGATGTAAAAAACAGCCAGTCATAGCGCATCCTTACTGACCAATGATAACGGTGTAATAGATACCCTTCCCGCCAAAATTAAGAAATGTATACAAGTGTTGTCTTTGTAGTGTCTCAATAGTGTTTCAATAAATCTGTTCAACTGTCAATAGCTGGTGTCGTTTCTGTATCTTGTCATCATCCGAAGAAACCTACTCCACACCTGACACCTAAATCAGTCTATATAAGTTTTTCTTCAAGAGCGTGTTGATTGTGACTAGCGTAAGCTCCGTTTGGACAAAGAGCTGTTATCACTGTAAACAATGTTAAATTATTCTTCTTATGCTAAGTTCATCTTTGAAAACAACTATTTTTTTTAATTAAAACAGGACAAACAAAGGTCATAGCGTCGTAGTGGCGTCAAACATCGCGTGAGATTCGACAAACGCGAAAGTATTTTGGGGAACATTTCCATGTCAATAATGTGCTGTACACATTTGATGATGGGCAATTTCAATTAAGTGAGGATATTGGAATGCAATATTCCTCTGTCAAAGATCGGCCGGTCGATGTGCGCTACGAAATAAAGAAATTCAAGTTCAAAATCAAATCGTTCGATTTTTGCGGCAGACTTTCGACGCGCGTCTTTCATGCATCTCGCGAGATCTCGCAGTTGTACGGAAAATCACCTATTCTGCAATGGTTTCTTTCATCTTGGGTGGCTCAACTGACGGCGTAGTAAGTCTGTGTAGTTGGATACAATGAAAATTTCCCCCCAAAATATTTGATAATTATTTTTTGAAATTTTGAACCCCAAATAAGCGCCCATCACCCGTGAAATCCCCAGGGCAATTTTTCGGATGGCCGAATTTACGACAGAATCAGGTTTTATATAAAGAAAGTATTATTATGGACATCTCGCGCATATTGCCGATGTTTTATACTGTTTGTAGTTTGCATATGAAAGTGGTTGTTGATGCCCCTCCTATTATTCGACGTCGTTGACAATGCGATAACAATGCCACTCGCACTGTGCACATTTTAGCACTAGATCTAGTGTCATTTTAGTGCAGATCTAGTG